AATTTCAATCAAACTTCTAATTTTTGCGTGAACTAAACACACTTCTTCCTATTAATTTGAGCCACATTTGGAAGATGGGTTCAGGATACGATTTCCCATCTCTCAAAGAGTAAGTTTCAATCTTAGCCGTTCATTCTTCTCACTCTATTTTTATCCTATCCGGATCCATTCATTTCCACTTCCCACTCCCTTGTCAAACCCACTCCCTTATTAAACCCATTTTTCAAACACATCCATGCAGGAAGGGTGTACGAATCATTGTATAAAAAACCGTGGTCAAAATCTGACGCTGAAGACCACACACACAAAAATACAGTTACAATCTGTCATTCATTCTGTCGAGAGATAAACAACACTGCAACTGTGTACTTTGCAGCCTATACCTCGGTTTAATTCTCGTGTACACTGTACTTGCTCATGCCAAAGTACATTTAATTACCCTGCAACCAGCTAGCTAGACAGAGTGTAGCCTTCTCTCTCGATTAAAAGGAACCCAATAATCATTGGACCAAAACCTGTTGCCTGCGGCCATCCAGTAGTTCAGATGGGGTCAAGGCACAGGACAGACAACTATCTCAAGCAGATCTTAACAACCACCCAGTTTCTTTTTCTTGGTAACCTCGTGGTTAATCCTTGACTAATTGACACCTTATCTTGTCAGAGTTTTATCGAATTTGATGAGCTTTGCATTTTGGATGTAATTTAGTTGGAGTAATTGTGCTTGCAGTTTGGTCATGGTGCACGTGAATGTCTGCGTCGTTTTCGTTATCGGATCAGAGATGCAGACGCAGCTTAATTAGCTAGCTAGCGCATCGTGAGAGGGACACGCCGCAAGGAGACAATCCTGTCCGTTAATTTTTTCTTCTGCTGTCTAAGATAAACTCCATAAAACCTGCGTTTTCTTAACCTGTTCTGCAGAAATTTCTGGCAAGTGGATGTGTTTCTTTCTGATTAGCAAGTACCTTTCTAGAGTATAAGAGAACAGAAATTGCCAAAAGAAAAGATTTTTTTTATAGGCAACATCTTAATCACACTTGTGGCTGTTGAGTGGTGTTACCATGTGATAAGATCTGCACATAAAGTCGAACGTATTCTTGCTAGCTCCTTGATATCAGCTTTTATTTGAAGAGCTTGAAAATCTGAGAAGCAATTGACGGATATATATCTAATTAGTGATAATGTAAGATAAGTTGGAGTTGCGTCCAGCTACTAAATTTCATACTTTCCCGTCCTAAAATATAACAACTTTTACTATTTAGGATTTATCTCAAAATATAACAACTTCTTCATCAACATTTCATTCCCAAGTCCTAACCAATCACAACCATCCACCATTCATTTTTTGCATCTACCTCCACTTCTCAACCAATCACAACATCTCCCTATTTAATTTTACCTACTTTCTTAATAACCGTATCCAACTCTAAACTTTCTTATATTCTGTAATGAACGAAGTAATTTGGAAGGAAAATCTAGATTATCTGGGGAGCTAGAAATTCGTAGAGTACAGTTATAATAGCTAGAAGCTCTCCAAACGAAGCCACAATTTCTCATAATTGCATTTTAACAAATATCAAATAGTTTTGTCAAAATTGTTAAACGAAATGCATTTCCATATGTTGCATAATTAAGTGGGTAAATGCCATATTTTATTATGAAACTTTTCGTTGATATATTTTATAAAATAAATGTTGCAGTAAATTTTCTTTTAAATAAATTATGTTAGTATATATGGTCAATAGCATGGCAAGTTAAACACATTTATACCAAATTACAATGCTAAAAACATTTATGTATTAAAATAAGTCAATGATGGGGATCTTCAAAATTTTTTTTATAATAAGTTAAAAAAAGAAATGGTCATGCATACCAGGACAACTCTGAAAAAGACCAGATAGCATTGATCAATTCTAATTGGATCCAATCAGGTCCCAGGGTCTCCCTACTTCCCTAAACAAAAGGATAAATAATATTACAAGGTCTTATCATTCCACACCCATGTATGTGTATCTACAACATATCAATTGAAGCGTAGAGTAATAAATTATGAATTAAGGACACTATGGACTTTTTTTTTTTTGGCATGTTCACCTTGTTGAGGTGTCTTGGTCTACCTTGTCTAGTGTCTACAAAGAGGGGAAAAAAGGTGGTTCACAACCTGGCCAACCTCGCCCCAATCTTGGATGCATGCAGTAGGGAAAAGGAGGAGGGCTCAACCATAGAATTATTGGGATTTGTGTGTCTCATTGCACCCTCTTTGCAAGGTCCAAAGGCACAAAAAATGGTTTGTTAAACCTAACATAGCTACTGTGTGCTGATGGGGATGCACATATGAGCACACCATCAATCCTTTATGATGCCAAGATCTTACAAGGTCACTCTCTGGTTTGTTATATATTGCTACTGGCATGGGATATCTTGGCAGCCACGGATACATGGTCATGGTCTCATGGACCATATATTTTCTAATCAAGAAGCCATTATATGAGCATTTAATTCAAATATATTGTGTTTTTCAAAAAAATTATGACACATGACGGCACTAGTAATTCTTGCACAATTATTTTGGTGGATTCAGCCTCACATAATGGAAACATGGAATCACATGCAACAATTGTCAACCCAAAGGCTCAGCTCAACCACCCCAGGGCCCAAGCGGAGCTGTGCCCGGGCTCACCAGTGAGCCAGCAACACAGTATGTGCATTGAGATCCTAGCAACCAACAACATATACTATTATCTAGGTTTTGGGAACTTCCTAGGTTTATAAGAGTTTGATTACAAACATTCAATACTATACAATGAATTCAACCATGTATTGCTAACATTGTATTAAAAGGAAAAAAAATATTATTTCTTCCAAAAGAATTAGATGCACATCAACTTGGTACATCTAGAGATACTAGCAAAAAAAGAAAAAAAAAGAAAGGACAAAAATCAAAAAGCAAAGAAAGAAGTAGCACTCCATGTGACAAACAGTACTATGTAGTGTACACACATATGTACTACTACCAGAAACAAATGGCGGTAGAAAATCGAGCGAAAACGGCAGGCCACCATGCATCTCTTGTCCCGGCTCTGCATGGATCACGAGACTGCTTCCATCTAACAACAGCAACAACGGCCAAAATAAAAACGGCTTCATTTTAGTAGTTTACATGCCATAACATTCCAAAAGGGTCACAAGATTCCTCTATTAGTGGCTCAGAAGCATCACGGAGAGGAGGAAAAGAGAGAGGAAAAAAAAAGGCAGGACAGGAAGAAAGGTGAGATCAGTCAAGCAGTATTACTGCAGCAAATTATAATGCTTCTGAAACCACTATTGTTTACTCCCTCCTTTCCATATTATAAGTCATTTTACTTTTTCTCAGACAAAATTCTTTAAGTTTGATCAAATTTATAGCAAAATATAAAAAATTTGGTTAAATCTAAAAAATACTTTGACTAATAAAAAAGTCAAACAACTAAATATGTAACGGAGGGAGAACTACATGTTCCATCCACAAAAAAACCATTTCTTTTGCATGGCTACATGTAAGTAAAGCTGGGAGGGTGAAAGAACACTGAACAATTTCATGCCAGCTAAAGCTGAACTGCAACTTGCAATGTTTGCAGACAAGTTTGGCACATTCCTCACATCACATGCCCAACTTTCAGAACTCTGAACTGCACCTCTGGCTTTCCTGTATGTAGTGTAAATGGAGGTTCTGAATAGTTGCTGCATATTGCTACATCCTCTCTGTATCTCTCTCTCTTCTCGCCTGCATTATCATCATTGTCCAGTAGAAAAGACAATGTTTTTGTTGGTGGCAACAAGGCAATGCACACATTAACTGTGCTGCATAGGGGAGGGTATCGTGCATAGTACTCCAGATTCGTAGTACTAGGATAGGATAGATCTCATCTTATCTAGGATAGGATAGATCTCATCCTATCATAGATTGCTACATTATCTGACAGAGGGAGTAGTATTTACACTCTGAGCAGTATGGCAGTATGTAGAGAGGTGTGAAGACAGGGTGACAATGTGTGGCAGCCAGTACAGGTGCTGACTGACAGTCAAATCTGCATCATATTCAATTGGTTAAAAAGTACTCAAACATTATTATAGTTTGATTGGATTTCAGAGGCATATAATTGATGAATTGATGTGTGTGTGTGTGTGGGGGGGGGGGGGGGATTGTACTGCATTGTGGATTAATCTCCAAAGCACCTCCAAATGGCCAACCTGGAGGCACTGAAGATCAATAGTTACACCAATTGTTTGGAAAACATGGATTTTCTAGGAAGGTTAAGAGGACTCACCCTATTGTTTCTTGCAAAATTTCTGCATTCCAAAATATGTCATGTCAAGCAAACTTGTGCCGTGACAAAACAACTTTATGGAAGCATATTGTTCAGTGCAGTGAAAAGGGCAGACATCATACAATATGGGAAAACAAGCACAAACCAACATGGAGACTTGAGACAAGGAGAGCAGAACAAAGCAATGAAAAGAACTGCAGACTTGGGAATGAAGAGAGGCAATGTAGGAGGTATCAAAAGTACAGCAATTTGGTGACATATGGGGGCCATAATGCCATTGAGACCTTCCGATCCGTGCCATGTTGCCAGGTAGGCAACAAAGCTGGGACATATGCTGTTTCTTGAAATTTTGTTTAGCTTCTCTGAAAGCTCCAAAGGCATGGGTTCCCTGGTCGTCAGGGCAGCACTGCAAAAATCCAATGTTAGCAAAAGGAAGAGGTCATTTAACAGTTCAATCTTCAGACAACCAATTACACTGCAGAGCTCACCAGCTATAAATCATTCAAGATGCTTGTGCCCTTGTTTGTCAAGAACTCTTCAAGGATGCATTTCTGACCTTAAATCCAGCACCAAAAACATCCTACGAGAACGCTAAGGAGCTATTCCTCAACAATACTTATTAGTACCCACAGTACAGAATGATGAGGGATCTAAAATACATGACAGATACATAGCCAGGAGGAGACAAATCCCAGATGGATACAAAAACTTGTCCTTTGGATAGGAGCACGTACAATGAGGGATCTGCATGCCAATCCTTTACATCATTTCAACGTTCAAATCAAACAAATCGCTTCTATGTCTCAGCGTGATTGTTGTAGGACAAAAACAATGATGAACCACAACAGCACACGAGTCTAAACTCATAAGTTCCCCAAAATTGCATATCAAAACATCTAAAGAGTTGTGTTGTGGTTTTTTAGACGTAACTTACAATCGCTAAAGCTGTTCTGGATAGTGCAAAAAACAAAAAGGTGCTGCTCTGACCATAAAAAACACAACTGCTGTAATTATAAGGTCAGCCACTAATATGACAGATGAGAGCTGATTTATTAACTAGCCCAATGATGCTAAGCTTGTGCTGCTTGTACAACAACTGCTCTTTATCTCTATTTCAACTTAGACAGGATTTCCTCAGAAGGAACCTCCAATGTAGCTCCAGCATGTTCCTTCTCAGGTTTTACAACTGTGACACCAAATATTAGCCAATTGTCAGACTTCTAAAATGTCAGTAAATCAACAAGACAACTTAACATGATAATAAATAAAGTGGAAATAATATTGTTCGCATCAATGATAGGTAAGTTTCAAGAAAATACCTAGATAAACATACCAGAGATCTATTCATAAGGATTGAAATCGTATATTATATTAATGAAGTCACAAGCAAAGCAGCAATATGGCCAGTGAAGCCAATATACTGTCTGGAAATACCATTGCACAGCACAGCTCTGATGGTGGGCATGATATATAGGGACCACTACTGTACTGCTAAAAGCCTAAAACCAAAAGAAGGCCAAGGAATAAATCATCCTAACAACAGATCCCTTTTATAATCGCCATGGAAATTTTACTGTTCAGCATTGAAGCTTCAAAGTCAATTTAGGACAGCAATGCATAATTTTGGGAATCTGACACACTTCACCGTCACACTGTAATCAACAGTATAGATGATATTATGGAGTGCCAGTGTGCCACTGTCGTGTGTTTCACTCAAGGGTGGTCAGAAGAATGGAGGCAGTACCGCAGTAGTTGTGGTTGACGGGGGGATGAAGGTGAGTAGGCACTGTTATGAGAGAGAGAGAGAGAGAGAGAGAGAGAGAGAGAGAGAGATTCTTTGTTTGCTTGATTGCAAATAACAAATCCAAAGTCCTTTTATAGGAAGGCATGCCAAACAAAGGATCCTAAGCTCAATAGAAATAGATTGATCACTTGCTAAAGTAACTAAAGGGTTACTGGAGGAGAGAGAGAAAGAGAGTCATTCATAACTCTAGGCCCAGATCTCCTGATCGCACACATCTGCCTAGTGGCGCCTCTTGGCCGTGCGCTGCCTGCACCTCGGTCGCCTTGGTCTGTCTACTATAAGTGTGGTTCCACATGATAGACATCCTTTTGTTACAAAACTAAGATAAAATGACTTCTTGAACAAAAGGCATGTGGTTTGGTTGTACATGCTATGCTATATTAATTAATTATCAAAAAACATCAATTAATCTGGACCAAATGATATAAATCATAAATACAGATGGATTTAGGAATAAAATTTTGGTTAAAGGGGGTCTAGGGTGAAGTTTCGTACTATTGTTTTGGTCTCATTAATGGCAGTTTGTTCAAAAGTGAGGCCTGTATTCGCAGCCAAAACTTGTTGAGGATAGGAAAATATATTGAGTACAATGTTGATCTTGAGAAACTATATCTTAAAAAGCCCTTGTTATACAGCATGGCTGTCTCAAGGGAATAACATGGGTTTATTCATGCACCCATCATGTGAACAAATAGATAATAGAACTGAGGCAACACTATAGTCTTCAGCTTCAAACTGATAAATGTCTCTCCGAAAAAAGGTACTTCATAACACTTGGCAATTGCCATAAAATTCATTGCTTATTCAACCTATCAAAATTTTTAAGATTACTCTTCTAAAAAACATGGCTATATACCAGATTTCAGTATTTAACTGCCCAAGAGGCCCGCAAATAAGAGCAAAAAATATGCAATATGAGAATGATCCATGACAAAACACGTCAACAATTTCAACAAAACATTGGAAAGCATGCTGCAGAAATGATTTATCTGTACACTCTCCACTAACAGCAGCTGCTCATACGGCAGTTCTAGGGCAAGCATCACTTTAGATTTTTAGCTTGCTCATGTGCTGCCATGTAAATGCAAAGCACACTTGTTATCCCACCACATCAGCTCTTTTCATGGCACTCTGGCGAGCTTTCATGGCACTATGCTCATATATGGTTTCAGTTAAGGCGATTCGGGTCAGACAAGTTGGAATGTGGGATGGCGAAGACATGACAAAAAAGAGTTGTTGGGAGATAACTTAAGGATTTTCAAAAGGCATAGTATAATATATAACTAACGTAAATGAATTTCTTAAATATGTTGTTGGTGGCAACTGACAAATCCATTCTTCAGTGTAATTAATCAAACCAAATCTTAGGTGTAGAAGCAGGGCGAACCACGACAGAGGTTTTTCTCCCATCATTTATTTACTTTTGCCAGGTAGCATAAGTTAAATCTATTACAAAAGCATCGTCAGGTCCATTATTAGTTGTTGTGTCTTCAGTTCTACCCACCAAGGCCCAACAGCACAACTGTGGAATTGAAACTAAATCCCATAATGTACCCAGGGTGCAAAATAAGCTCATCTCAAAATATGTTGCGTTAGTTTATTTAGCATTACATTTGTCATGCTGAATTCATAGCTAGACAAGATACAGCAAACCTGTAAGTTGGCAAGGGCAGGCCTAATCCACTCAGTCAACCACAACATGAAGACACTCGATAAAATTCATTGGTACAAACTACATCTAGTACACACACCCAAAAAAAAAAAGACATTTGGGTTCATAAAGAAATAGTTGCACCAGCCACAAACCAAAAAAAAAAGATTGAAATATGACTATCTATTTGTAATTATAATACCTTTAGCAATTCCCTCTTCCAGTTTGTATTCAGGAATTGTTACATGTGAAATGTAAAGTGGTGAATTATTTAAAAAGAAACAAATGTAATATGCTTTATGTAATTGAGCTGTTGCTTTAGTGACTCTGCTCCTTCTGGCGGCAAAGCTACCCCAACTTTTATCTGTTGTGAAACTTTCAATTTGTAATAGTCGATATGCATTTGTGTGGCACCCATTTGTTCAACAGGGAACAAATTATAACTGAAGTGAGCATCCTAGGTCTAGTTTCCAACTCTCCTCCTTGCATCTACCTCAATCTCAAGCTTAGGCAAATGCAATTCTAAGATGGATACGCAATGAAAAATGTCTCGAAACCCTGAGAGATCCCAAGCGGAAAGAAAGGGTAGAGAGGTGAATGGAAAGGGGGGGAAGTACCGAAGGATCCGGAGGGGGCGCGCTGGGCCTGGACGATCATGTGGGTGATGAAGTGCGCGGCCTCGCGGGCGTCGGAGAGGGCGCGGGCGGCCTCGCCGGAGCCCGGCGCGAGGCCCCGGTGCTCCTCGAAGCGGCGCCGGATCTCCACGGCGGACTCCGCCAGCATCAGCCTGTCGCCGGCGAACGTCCGCCGCGCCGCCCGCAGCACCGCCCTGTACGCCGCCAGGCCCTCCGCCGCCGCCGCCGCCGCCATTTCCCAGAGGTGAAGAAGTGTGTGTGCGTGTTATGCCGACTTAAAAAAAGAAAAAAAAAACAGATTAAAAAGGTTTTCAAGACAGAGAAACCTAGCTTCCAGATCAAGGAAGAAGAGAATATAGCGCAGATTCGAAAGGAAGAAGAGGACGTGCTCACCGGAGGGCGCCGGCGGCCGTCGCTCCCTCGCTCGCAGCCGCAGGTGATGGAGATCGGCGGCGCGGCGGCGGATGGATGGGTGTCAATCGATCGATCGACTGACTGGGCCACCAGCGAAAGAAGGACCCAAGAGGCCCATTAAGATTTTCATGCTGTTAGAAGCCCATTAAGGCTGAGTTGGACCAGTAGCACTTAATTAACGATTTTGCCAGTTCTTCCCTTCTTTGTCGACAAATTTCTGCTCCTCATATTTGACGTTTTTCTGGTCGTCCAATCCAGCATTAAGATTCGTGGAGCCATCTTCCTAGATAAGGTCGTATACTCGTATCGGAGACAAACCCTGTCCCGCGTCTGTCAAATTTCGTATTCCGCGCCATCTCCGTAGCCGTTCCCTTTTCCTTTCTATTTTTCTCGCGTTCCTTCTCGTTGTCTCAGCTCTTGCCTCTCTCTCTCTCTCCATTTGCTTCTCGCTTTCTCCAGCGAACAGGAGGGAGATTATCCCCTCCTCCCCCCACCCCACCGCCGCAGCCCCCTCCCCGGCGTCCTACATGTGTAATTACAGTGTGCAAATACTAAACATACATGTGTAATTACTAAACTTACAGTCCTATATAACTAAAATTACATTTGCAATTTCAGTTGATATAATATGTAAGTGCACAGTAATCTCACTATAGTTACACTGTAATTACACTATAGTTACAGTACAGTGTAACTATAGTGAAATTACACTGTAACTTTTAGTAGATGGGTTGGCGTTTTTTTTCAATGTAAAGATCTAACAAATAAAATATATGCAATATATATAATTAATATATATTGATACATGTTGTCGAAACGACAACTGCATACGTCGAAAGACGTGGTTACTCAACAGTGGTTGGAAAAAGGTAAAGTGTATTGATTAGAGAATTTTTCTTGGGATCCCCCCATTACATTGTAATGGCCCTATGAGACTATTTATAGCCCCTATTACAGATTCTTACTACTAAGGTTTTGGTTATACAGGGGAATTTACATGGTTACCCTTATGAAAGGGACATTTACAAGGGTACTGACGGAGCTTGGGGCTCCTCACCGGGAGACCGCGCAGGCCCCCCTTTGCCGGTTTGGCCGGGGGCCCTGGGTGAGATTCTAAGCTCTTGGTCTGTGGAAAGTTCGCGAGAGTGGAAACACACAAGACACGGGCGATGTATACAGGTTCGGGCCGCTGAGAAGCGTAATACCCTACTCCTGTCTTTTGGTGGATCTGTGTATGAAGAAGCTACAAAGTGCGAGCCAGCCCCCGATTGTTCTGGGATCCTTTTTTCTCCTCAAAATCCCCCTCAAAATCCCCTATCTCTAAGTGGGCAAGGTCCTCCTTTTATATCTCAAGGGGATACCACATGCACCATCTCTCCCTCTCTTTCTTTTGTGTGGGGACTCATCCACTCTTCCCTCCAACTTGACTTCTCTTCATTAATGGACGGAGATTTGTATGGCTGCCGTCCGAATGACCTTCTGATGGGACGGCCCATACCTACCTCCACTTCCGCCGGAAGCAGGCGCGACGTGGGAACATGGCTGTCTGCTGACGACATGACCATTGTCAGACCGGTCTCAAATCGGTCATTCTTGTCCACCACGTGTCAGTTTAACAATCTGCATGCTCGCCCTTCTTCATACAATATCTTGCCTGTAATGGTTAGGATGAAGCCTGGCATATATCTGACCGGAACCAACGTGCCATCTCCAGGAGCTAACACGCCGGCTCCGGCTAGGGACGAGTGCTTGGAGGCTCTCGTCCTGACGGGATGGGGCGAGACGTGCGTCAGACCGCCTGTCGCCACCCAACCCACGATCTGACCGGTCTGTGACTGGTCACAGACCGGATAAACGAGCGCGCTGCACTGCGTTACATGTGGCGTGACGCGCTCGTCCAAACCGCAATAAATGCGGTTAGGTGAGCCCCGCTATGTTCACCTACCCCATATACGCGGCGCAAAACCCACAAGGGGTCGGGGCGCCTCGGCCCTCGGGGCCGAGACGGGAGCGGTCCGACCCCTCGGGGAGACAAAGAGAAGGGCGGCCGTATCACCCTCGGGCCCGACCCCCCCCGAGGGGGTTAGGCCACGTGGGTGATCGTGTCTGCCTCAAGTCTCTAAGTCATGATACTCCCGGTCCCATGTCACCGACAGTAGCCCCCGGCGTTATGCCAGGGCGATCGCCCTCCTCGAGGGAAGCGGTCGGGCGTGACGCCACTTCTAAGGCCTGGTGACAGGTGGGGCCGGTTCCTACAGGTGCCATCGAACTACATCACCCAGAGGGCGGTGTGAGGCAGCTGCGATGGGCTCGAGCTGGCCTCGGGGGCGGAGACGAGCTCGGGAGCTGGGGTCCACTCCGCCACGAAATCGGCGAGGGCCTGGCTCTTGATCGCGTGGCTTGGTTCAAAGCGCAAATCGAATTCAGAGAGTTCGATTGCCCATTTCACCACTCGTCCAATACCCTCTCGGTTATACAAGATTTGGCCGAGGGGATAAGACGTAACCACCGTGACCTGATGCGCCTGGAAATAATGGCGCAACTTCCTCGAAGTCATCAGGATAGCGTAAAGCATCTTCTGGGCCTGAAGGTATCGGGCCTCGCTAACGAAGTAGACGGGCCGCTGCACCTTTCGGCGGGGCCGATCTTCTTCGTCAGGGGCCACATCTCCAGGGCGCTCTCCATCCGAGAGGCCACGCGGGGCGCACTCGGCTTCTGTGCCGACGACCTCGGGGTCAGAGGGCGACAGGCGCGGCCTTCCCGCAGTGGCCTCGGGGCCATCCTGGGGGTCGGGGGCGCCTGGCACCGTCGGACTAGCAGGCGGAGGGCCAGCTCCGGCCGTCGGGGGCCTTGGGCCGCCGTTCGGCTCGGGGGCCTCTCCTCCCTGCTCTCTTCTCTCTTCGGGCAGAATCCCGGCGGTCGCAAATCGCGCGCATCAGCAAGGGAAAACCGACCGACAATAATGAGCGGCCCCTCGGCTCGCGTTTGCCTTCAACTCCGACGAGGAGTGCGGTGACGACGGTGCGGACGACAGCGACCGCGAGGCCGGCTACCCGGGCGCATCGGAGTGAGCCCCCAGGCCTCCGCCAATCTTTAAATAGTTTCTTCTTTTCTTCTTCCGAGGCCTTCAGGCCCCCTTCTTGTATAGACTAATTTAATCTGCAATCAAATAAAGAGGAAATTTTTTGTGTCAATTCTATTTGTCGTGTGTATGAGACGAGGATGCCTGTGCCGCGGTCCTTTTGTGTCTTGGCTTGAACAAGGGCTCGTGCCCAGGTCCTAGTCCTCAAATGGCTCGGGTCGGGGCTAGTGCCTGGGGAGATCCACATGTCGAGACTGGCCAGGCCGGGAGCGTGGTGACCGAGGGTTATGGGTGACCCGATTGTGGGTTTTTGCCGATTCCCCCCCGGAGTTCACCACGCCACGGGGCACGGCTCGGTTCTGGGCCCCGTTTGGCGATTTTAGCCGACCCGAGCCCCCGAGGGCAGGATTGAACACGAGTGACCTATTTCAAGTCAAGATCCTTCAAAAGGAAACAACAGCACAGATACAGCCTTTAGGAAATCGAAAATGCTTTTATTGAAATACAGATATAAGAGAAAAAAGATAAGCCCCCAGCCAACCCTGCACGCCCGGGGGGGTGCGGGGTTGGCCCGAGCCCAAGACCTGACACCCGACCCCCACTAGGGGTAGAAGCGACGAAGGTGTTCGATGTTCCACGGGTTAGGCAGCTCTGTGCCGTCGCCCGTGGCCAGCCGAACGGAGCCCGGCCGGGGGACGCCGATCACTCGATACGGACCCTCCCACATTGGTGAGAGCTTGCTCAATCCAGCACGCGTTTGGACGCGGCATAGGACGAGGTCGTCGACGCAGAGTGATCGGGCCCGGACGTGGCGCTGATGGTAGCGCCGGAGGCTCTGCTGGTAGCGCGCGGCTCGAAGGGCCGCGCGCCACCTTCGCTCTTCCAAGTAGCCGAGGTCAGGGAGCGTCGGCTTCCTTCTTTTTGTCGCTCGCAGGCCTCCCCTTTCTGGTGGCCAGCGAAACGCCTTCGACGGCGAGGACATGACCCTCGTCGTCGGAATGGGCCGACCTCTTCTTCCTCCTCCTGTCCCGCCGCCCTGACCGAGCGGCGGACCCGGGGGCGGCCGAAGCTGCCACACCGGAACCGGAGGGGTTCCAAGTCCAGGCCTCCTCCTTGCGAGCCACTCGGTCCGCGAGCTGAAAAAGCTCCGCGGTAGTCTGGGGCTCTTTGGGGGCGATCTTTTCGAGCATGCGGTTGTGCCGCACACCCCCCCTGAACGCGTAGATCACCGCGTGTGCAGGGATGCATGGTATGGTGTTGCGGACTTGACAGAACCGCTGAATGTATGAGCGAAGTGACTCATCATCCCTTCGCTGGACTGCATGTAAGTCCGCTTCTTCACCTGGGCGCGGATATGTGCCTTGAAAGTTCATGGTGAACTGTTGACACAAATCCTCCCAGGAGTGGACCGACGCGGGTGGCAAGTTCATTAGCCAACCCCGCGCCTGTCCCTTCAGGGCCATGGGAAAGAAATTCGCCATGACCCTGTCGTCACCCCCGGCGGCCTCGATCCTGGTCATGTAGACCTGGAGAAACTCGGCGGGGTTGACGCTCCCGTCATATTTTTCGGCGATGGTGGGCCGGAACCTTGGGGGCCAACGGACGTTCCGAAGGCTCGCCACAAAGGCTCTACAGCCGACACCACCAACCGGGGGCACGGAGGGCTGATCCCCGCGTCCGTGTTGATGTGACACTCCGGACGAGGAGGCGCCCTCGGTTGCGTGGGCAGCACGTCGGCCATTACGCCGGCGCTCGATACTGATGCGGGCATCCGGCCCCCCACGCAGATCTTCCTGGGTCGGAGGCGCTGACGAAGGAGTGGCGGCCGAATGGCGAGCAACAGCCGCCGCTCGCCGCGCCCTCCGCCTTGACGACACGGAGCCGGTGGTAGCAGCGCCAGAGGTCTTGGTGGCGGAGGACCGCCCACCAGCACCTAGGCGCTGCCGTGCCGTCATGACCAAGTTGGCCACGTCGTCCAGCCAACGTTGGGCTGGAGACTCAGGGTCAGGGACAACGGGCGGGTGACGTAGGAGCGCGCCCGCAGCTTGGAG